AAATTTTTTTAAATTAATAACTAATAAAATATTTTAAAAAAAATAAGGGTAAAATAGGAAGTTAGTTATAGACCAATGGACCTTTGGTCCAATAGTACTTCTTTTCTTGTAAAGGCTTTGCCTTCTTGAAGTCAATGATTCAAGTCCCCCTTCCTCTTCCTTCTCCCCCCAAAAAAGGTAATATTATAAAAGAAAATTTTAAAAAAAGTTATAGATTACAACTTTTTTGCATTTCTTTGTGTTTTTTACAAGAAAAAAATGTTGGTTATTTGTGAGAAAATTCAAGTATAAAAGAAAATTATTTTTTCTATCATTTTTCTTTTCATGCTAACCAAATACATGAAAATTTTAAAAAATTTATCTTTCTTGCAATTTCTACCATTCTCCGGCCAAACAAACAAATCCTAAGCAAAACTTTGAAACTAAGAAAAAAATCCCTCAATGTGTGTAGGAATGTGTATATATATAACATCATCATCCGTCAATCCCACTGGCTAAGGTGAGTGGCTTGGATGGTGGAAGCTTTCTCGAAGAACTTTCCTTTGTTGGTGTCGTCCAATAAAAATGTTCGTGTGAAGGTTGGGAGTTGCAATCATCCAATGAAAAGCTTTGCTTAGCAGTTAGGATCCACCCCTTAAGTTGTGCAACTGGATGGTAGTAGCTTCACGACGAATGAATGAAGACTGGGACTTCGTGAACTCTTAGTGGTGTGTGACGAACCTGTGTCAAGCATGAAGAGCCGGTTCCAAGATTTCTGTTGATCGTAGTACCGGTTCTAGCATTATAGAAATGGTTCCAGGCTCTCTGGATTTCGTAGAACCGGTACCAGCATACTAGAACTGGAACTAAGCTTTTTGGACCTCGTAGAACCAGTTCTAGTAACTCTTTTTATGGTTTTCTACTTTTCTGATTTTCTCCTTCGGATTCCAATCCTTTTCTTTCATATGCTTTCCATGATCTTCTAACTTGATTCCAACATGTTCCTCTTCATCTTCTTTGCACCTACAAACACATATACCACAATTAATTCAAACTTAGTGTAATTCAAATACTTAAATATCGAATCAACGATACAAAGTGGATGAATTTACCCTATTGAATATGCAATGTTACTCTTAACATCCCGCCCAACACAAGGAGTTGGAACTCCTATAACTTGTGCCTTGGGATGGACTTAACATCCCTGGAATAGACTGACTTTTAAGTGTGCAAGACTCTTTAATAGTGAGCAGATGTTGGTAACAAAGCCCACTACAAGAAAAGTGGTGATAGCCGGCATTAAACCGCCGACGTTTGTGGGAAACGCGGATAGTGTTTGCTAATTGCCAGTGTTTAATAAATGTCACTAATTCTTACCGTTTATTAAACGCTACTAATGCTCGACTAATTTAAATTAAGCACTAATTAATACCACTAATGATCGACATTTAATTAATGTCAATACTTTTTGGCGTTTTGTAAACGCCACTAATTCCTAATTTAAAATTTCATTTTATTTTTCCTTCCCCAACGACTTAACATTTTATTTATTTTGGGTTAATTACAAATTTTATCTCGAAAGATTATTTGAATTTTAATTTATACTCTTAAAGATAAAAAAATCTTAATTTGTACCCTCAAAGATAAAAATTTGTACCAATATGCACCCCAAAGATAAAAAATCTCAATTTACACTCTCAAAGATAAATATTTGTATCAATGTGCACCTAAAACTAATTCTCGTCAGTTTGCTACCTAAAATTAAATTGATAAATTATATCTAGATTTCTTCATTTTTTATCACTTAATCATTTAGACTCCACAAAATAAAAGGTAATATGAAATTATAATTTTTGGTTAGGATAAAATAATATTTTTTAACGGTTATAAAATCCTAATAAAAATACTCTCATTCTAAAACGTCTCTCCAATTGGACATTCAAATAATTATGTTTGAGTGATATATTGCATTGCATATAAAAAATATTATATAAATACCTACATTCTATTGGACATTCAAATGGTAAGTTTGATTTTGAACTTTAGAGTATATCGGATCTACAAAATAAAGGGTAATATAAAATTATAATTTTTTATTAGGATAAAATTATATTTTTTAACGGCTATATTAACGGATATTAACGAAAAAGGATTATGTATTACACGTGCACAAACGTCATGAGATGTATAAGTAATATTTTAAATGTGAAGGGGTTCAAATGATTAAGTGACAAGTATTAGATGATCTATGTATAATTTATCAATCTAATTTTAGACGGCAAATTAACGGCGGTTAATTTTAGGTACACGTTGATACAAATTTCTATTTTTGAGGGTAAAAATTGAGATTTTTGATATTTGGGGGTGCATATTGATACAAATTTTATTTTTGAGGGTACAAATTAAAATTTTTGATCTTTAAAAGTAAAAATTGAGAATCAAACGATCTTTGGGGTGTAATTTGTAATTAACCCTTCTCTGTTCCTCAAATCGATTTCCTCATTTTAACCTAGCCGTCGTCTTCTCTCTGTGGCTGACGCCCTCCGGCACATGACTCCCTCTCTGATGGCATCTCTCTCTGAACTCTCCTTAGTGGATTAGGTCGTCGTCACAGAGAGCTCAGCCAAATCGTTGCCTCATCTCTTCGTCGTCACAGAGAGCTTAGCCAATTCTGCTTCTGTTGTCTTTTAGCAAGTCCATCTCTCTCTCTTTCTCTCTCTCTCTCCCTACATGATTAAACAGTATCGTGTAAGAGAAAATATTTGTCTACGTAGTACAACTTGTTTCTATTAACAATACAGTCCAGACCTTGTGCTTATTAGTTAAAAATTAGTGTATCTTTTACAATAGTAAGTGAAAATCTTGAAACAATTTAGTATTACACGATCTAACTTGGCTTGGAGGTGTCGGCATGGCATGTCAATAAATCAGATTCCAGGTAAGGTGTAGAAAAATTCCAGTAGGAGGGAAAGAATTCAGAAAGTTGGTTCGCAAACTGATTTATTAATTATTTGTTCTGAAGTCTAAGGAAAAAAATTATGCACTATGTTTTGAAAAAAAAAACAAGATTTTCTCTGTTAGTCCTCCCATTCTATCATATACTCTATCTTTTGACACAGAGGCATGCCACAAAAATTTTCAATGATTGAAGTTTGATGTATCTTTTCTGGATGAATGCATTACATTTGACCAATCATCAACGACTGCGTAAAGCCATGTCTCAAATTTGTGTGATCCTCAGGAAGCCTTAAAACAAAATTAGCTGAGCCTAAACTGAAGAGCAAAGTCTTGAGCAGAGAATAAAATCTCAGTCGACTGCATGTCGCCCCTCTCTTTATGGATTTGTTGTGGTTGTCTCCTCTAAAAGATTCCATCAACTAAACTCTGAGCACGCATTTCTGATTACAGTGGTATGTAAACTATATCTTAATTTGAAACTGTATAATTAATTGACTGGTTAGTTCCTTGATTAACAAATTCATCGTATCTTGATTCTTTGTCTTTTGCAATTACGGTGTTTATTTGCTTGTTTAGTATTACCAGTCTTTTAATTGTGCCTGCCCAATTAGATAGTCCATTTTCCTGCTTTTGTGACAAGTGCAATATATACTTTTGTCTTTATGAACGAGGAAATGTTTCTTGATGCATGAAAAATGGAATTGGACACTTTGAATTCTATTCGTCTACTAGGAGTAGTTATTAGGAATGTAGAAATGGAGAGACTTGATTAGTCTCTTCAGAATGATTGAATTTGATTGTACATAATTATTAAAATATACGGTATAGGATTGCCGAGTTTCTAATTTTTTTTTTTCCTTTTTTTTTTTTTGTGTTCAATTATTTTGGTATCTTAAAACCGCATATGTTTGATGGTTCAGATTTGCAAGCATATCATATTGGAATACGTTTATGGATAAGAGTTGGATACATTTACATAGACTGAACCCATTGTATGAACAAGGAATTAAGAATTTTATCAAGTTTGCATGTGAAAATAAACCAAATGCACTGGAACTCACGTGCCAATGCAAAAAATGTCGTAATGTTAGATTGGTAAAAGGAAAACTTTTGGAAGAACATTTAATTGTAGATGGGTTTCTTGAGAGTTATACTCATTGGATTTTTCATGGGGAAGTTCATTTGCTTTGGTTTTTGGAGATAATGAATCAAGTGACTCTAGTTTGGGAGATGAAATTCAAGAAATGTTGCATGATGCATTTGGGATTCCCCCTCCAAGTCCAGTTTGTGGAATGAGTAGTGACGAACTTGAAAGGGATAGTAGAAAAGGGCCAGATCACGCAACAAAAAAGTTTTTCAAATTGTTGAGTGAAGCCAAACGAAAGTTATATCCAGGATGTACCAAAGTTTTCGACACTGTTATCTGTCATTCAATTGATGCACATCAAGTGGCTTAATGGATGGAGGGATAAGTCATTCACAATGTTACTTCAACTTCAAGTACTAAAGGATATGTTACCTGAGGGTAACACGTTGCCCACTTCATTTTATGCAACTAGACAATTGATTAAAGAGTTAGGTCTAGATTGCATTAAGGTACATGCATGTCCCAATGATTGCATGTTGTATTGGAAGGAGACAACTGCTAGGAATGACTGCCAGAAATGTCAAACATCTAGATATAAACAAATTGATGATCAAGGAGATGAAACAAATATTAGAGGCAAAAAATCCCGCAAAAAGTTGTAAGGCCCTTTAATACCGAGACTTCAGAGATTGTTTATGTCATAAAAAATAGTAGCATTGATGACTTGGCATGCAGCAGACCGAACAAATGATGGGGTACCAAGAAATCCAATTGGTTCTCTTACTTGGAAAACTCTAGACCAGTTGTATCCCGATTTTGCTAATGATGCACGTAATGTTAGACTTGGATTAGCGTCTGATGGGTTCAATCCATACAGGATAATGAGTATTTCTCATAGTACATGACCTGGTATTTTAATGCCATACAACTTGCCGCCATGGTTGTGCATGAAACAACCTTATATGATGTTAACACTGATTATTGATGGTCCTCATGCTCCCAGAAATGACATTGATGTATACTTGCGCCTTGTAGTGGATGAATTGAGGGAGTTGTGGGAGGTTAGTGTTAATACGTTTGATACATCTAGAAACCAGATGTTTCAAATGCGGGCAATGCTATTATGGACAATCAATGATTTTTCGGTTTATGCAAATTTGTTAGGATGGAGCACAAAAGGTAATTTAGCTTGTCCTTGTTGTCATATGCACACCCGTTACCGTTGGCTGACAAATGGAAAAAAGCTTTGTTACATGGGGCATCGATGCTGGTTGGGTCAAGATCATGGATTTCGTAAAGATAAATTGCCATTTGATGGCACTGTTGAAGTTAAATGAATCCAGCTCGACTTTTGGGTACATATGTGTTACAAATGTTTCCTTCAGATTATCAAAACAACTTTGGGAAGGATGGCAAGAGCAGCCATTCCAGAAAGCGAAAAAGGAGGTTAAATGGGGTATATGAAGATGACGAGACTCATCTAAGCTACAATTGGTAGAAGAAAAGCATTTTCTTTGAGTTGGCTTATTGGGAGCACAATCCGATTCGACATATTCTTGATGTGATGCATATTGAGAAGAATGTTTGTGACAATTTATTATGGACTCTTTTAAATGTTGCTGGAAAAGAGAACGACAATCTGAATGCTCGACTAGACTTGCAAGAAATGGGCATTCGAAAGGCCTTGCACCCACAACAAGCGAGTAACAAATTTTATTTGCCCCCTTCATGCTTCACTATGGACAATGGGGAGAAAGATGCATTTTGTGCATTTCTAAAGAAACTCAAATTTCCAAATGGCTATGCATCAAATATTTCTCGGTGTGTTAATGTTAAACAACGAACTATCTCTGGACTAAAAAGCCATGATAGTCATATATTAATGCAACAACTTTTACCAATTGCTGTGAGGGGTTTATTGCATAAGAAAGTGGTTGGGCCACTGATTGAGCAATGTAATTTTTTTAGGCAGTTATGTTCAAAGGTTCTGCAAGTAGATGACCTAGACCACCTCTAGTCTCGGATTGTGCTTACACTTTGTCATCTCCAAAAAATATTTCCGCCGAGCTTTTTCAATATCATGGAACATTTGCCGATACATTTAGCTGAGGAGGCTAAGATTGCCGGCCCGGTGCAATATTGTTGGATGTCTCCAGTATAGAGGTGAACCATGCTGCATATATAACTAAATTTCGTTAATTCATTCACACTTCCCTTATATAAAGCCATGTGCTCTGTCATATTTAAGGCTTAAATGTGTACCTGCCCTGCCTTGGTTTCATCTTTCCATTACTCATCCTTTTGGCACTTTGAAGCCAGGACAAATTCTTTATCTGCATTATTTCATTTATGAATGGATATTAGAGGTGCCAGACTATTGTAAAGCAATTTTGCTTTGTTGTTATTAGTTCTCTGGGATCATTGTACTTTTCTTTTTTCATGTTGTGATGGATCACCATAGAAATGGCTATAATTCTACCAATTATCTTTTGTAATATTGCAATTTTCAGAACATGTTCTGTTTCAGTTTTAAGCTTAGGACTACTAGACTTAACCTTAGATTCACGTGAGAAAATTTGGTACTAGTGCTTTTCATTTTTATTGTTTTATGTGGAATTTATGTGTTAATTTATATTAAATGAAGGTTCATCGACAAAAAAGAGCGAAATTTCCGCCCAAATGACTCTCCCTCCTAAGCCTAAGGTTCAGGATTATCTTGCTGGAAAAGAGGAGTGTTGTTGTATTATCCAGTGGGGGAGGTTAAATGGAGAGATGTTTTTTTTATGGATTGGAGGATGTTGTTGAAAAGCTTGTTTTTGGAGGATTCTGTTGAAGCTTATTTTGGTTTGGAATTTTTTAAATTTTGTTGTTTTCTTGTTTGAATTTTTTGAGCAGACTGTTTTGGAAATTTTCAGCAGACTGTTTATAGGGAAGCAAATTGTATGGTAGATTTTTTTTTGTTGATTGATTAAAAAAAAAAATATCATTACATAAATGCTGAAAACTAGGTAAACGCCGTAAAATAACTCCGGTCACCAAAATTTTAAAAGAAAGCCGTTGATTAAATAAGCGTCGATTCAGTGTGCAAGAAATGTCACTTTAATTTTTTGTGGTGTTTAATTAAACGTAGGTAATTTTTCTGACGAAGGTTTTGACGATGTTAATAACAAACGTCAATAATAATATTTTGCCGTGTTTGTTTGACGGTAAATGTCTTTTTTCGTGTAGTGGTCATAGGTGGTTGTTGGCAAAAAGGGTCCGAAATTGAAAGAGTCTAGGACTGTTGTTGATCTTCCACCTTCTTGAACTTCTTTTGCCACTGATTTTCTGCAAGAAAGAATGTTAGTTAGTATTCAAATAGGTTAGACATGGGGAGGAGTTTAAAATTCCATTAGAATCAAATACTCTAATTTGCAAGTGTATCTTCGGCCAATGAAGTTTGGACGTCGCCATGAAATGCTTGGTACGTAACCTAGGAGGGGCTCGGTATCACTGCAATTAACTGAACCTTAAAGAGTTTAGGACTCTTTAACGATGAATGAACATAAATTTTGGTAGTAGGTTTGACAGCCTTTGGCGAAAAGTGACCGAAAATAAAAGAATCGACGATTTGTTGATTCCTTTTTCTTGAGCTGGTTTTTCTGAACTGCCTTCGACCAGCATGGAATTAGAAAGTCCATCTTTGATTCAAATGGACCTTAAAGTGCTGAAGTTTCTGGGTGACTTTTGGAAGAGACTAAAAGAAAGACTTGAAGTTTTTACATGTTGCAGCCAAGCCTTGCTGTGGTAGGATTTGGAAACCCCATCAATCTGTTGCTTTAGATAGAATGCTTTGCTGTAATTTTTTTATCTCCAACCAATACGCAGTGACAATGTCCTTTTTTTTTCTTTTAAAGGGTTTGATATTGTTGCAATTGGTTCGGGTTGCCTCTATCGAACCAAGATGCTGCCATAAAAAATTCAAGAAATTTAATCGAAGAAAGAGAAAGAGAAAGAGAAGAGAGAGAAAGGAATTCATACCTGCTTCAGATTTTTATTTGTTTGTAATCCCTCTTATTTATCTTCTCAACTTTCTCCTAAACTTCTACTTTTTTCCAGAGCTTCTCTCTGTGCTCTTCAATCTCTCTCTTTCTCTCCAACCGTCCAAGCTCTCCTCTCTTTTTTTTTTTCCCAGATACACCTTTTTCTCCTCTTTTTATATATTTTTTTTGTTACACGGGGACTTGAGAGTCCTAACGGTCATCCATTGGGCGACATGGGATTTAGTGGCTTCCACCAACCGTCATCCATTGTCCCTCACCCTCCAAATTTTCAGCTAGTGGGTCTTCCACTAACTTCGAGCTTTGGGCACGCATTCTCTATCTCTCTCTGCTTTTCAAGTGTGTACAACGGCATAATTAGGGGATAGTAATTGGGATCCATGTGTTCGGCGCAATTGAATAACCCTAAAGATTAATTGTGAGTATGGATAAAAGTATGAATCGTAACAAAAACATACTCGAGATCTCTTCGAAAGATACAGGTCGTGGACCTCGCTAAAAATTTGAACCAACCATGATTTTTTTTTAACCGTTTAACAAGCACGATGATAATTACAAAAAACTAAACGAAATAATCCTAAGGTGACTTATTTTAACTTTTCATAAGAAGTAAATACATAGATCAAAGGGGGCCACTCAAGTAGGTAATTTGATGGTGATGTTTGGTACCTTTCTTATGTTTTGTCACCAATAAATATGAACTAAAACAAGAAAAGTGTCATCTCTTGTACTAAAGGAAAAATACCAAGCAAAACCACCATCTCATTTTCAAATTTTTATACAAACTTTTGATTATGGATAACAAATGCAGCGGAGATCGTCAAACAGTCAACATGAAGGAAATAGAAAATGAAAAAAGATTGAACAATAAAAAAAAGTGTAATATTTTAAACAGATTATTTTTATGCAAAATAAGTTTGAATGGAATCATGTTTTTAAAAAAGGGATAAGGAGGGGTAATCATCGTATTTTTCTTAGTATACTTACTGACATAATCCTTTTTCCGGAAAATAAAAATTTCATTGATGAGTAACAATGATATACAAAACAAGGGAGTAATCCCTTTAGAACATGCAACAACGGCATCAAAAGTAAACAAATATGTGAGGGGTGCACATTCAACATAAGCACCTCAAACAGATTCGACAAAAAGTACAATCAATTGAAAGAGAAACCATTGCAATGTAGTAAGCAAACAAGTGATATCACACAAGAAAATTATCTGGTAAGCTCCATTTGTGTATGATTTCTATATTTTGCAGGTTGCGTTTGAACTTTAGGAATGTCATTCTGCCCCGAATAATTTGCTAGCATGAATTCCACATGCTACAACTGTAAAGATTTGAAAAATGAGAATAAATTTTTCGTTTTGCCAGTAGGACATTATTCATGCACTATTTGTCGATAGATCACTATATATGCATCATTTATACATAAGTCATATTTATAAGCATAATTTGAGTATATCATAGGAGATAAACATGCTTAGAAAGTTAAAATACACTTACTGTATGAATTTAAGCTTAAACAGAAACAATTTCAAAAATTATACCAAAAGGGCGTTTCGGGTGGCCCAAGTGGGACTGGGCAAACCCGACCATAAGAGAAAATCTATTTTTTTGAAAATTTTATTTAAAATAATTTTAAGAACTTTGGTTAAAATAAAATGACGAATTGAGGCGTTTCAGGACAGGTTGTAAAAGAACTTTGGTTAAAATAAAATGACGAATTGAGGCGTTTCAGGACAGGTTGTAGTGTAACGGGGTCCCGGATTCATCACGAGCAAAAGGGTCATTTTGTACCTTTGCCCCTCCACTATAAATACAACCCCCTTAGTTTAAAAATATCAGTTTTTGGTCTGGGAAGGAGCAACACACGTTCATGGAGGAAAAATGAAGAAAAATTCTAAGTTCTTCAAGTTTCAAGTCACCAAAACTCACTCTTAGGCCAAGATTGTTGCAAAACTTCCTTCTAGGTTGTTCCTCTCAACAAGGGCTATATTTTCACCAATCGGTTCGGCTGTGCATGAACACAACTTCTTTGGTTTGAGAAAAACTATTTTAGGTATAATATTTTGCTAAGTTAGGGATATATTTAAGTTTTCTTGCCTTTCTATGTGTTGATTGAATGATTTAGGTGTTTACTTGATGTTAGAAAAATCACTTAGGTGGTAGTTGTTTTGAAAACTTAGAGTTAGTAGTTTAGGTACTTTTGTGTTTTTTGAGTTTCTTAACTTTTTTGTACTATGATAAAGGTGTACCTTACATATATGTTGGATTATTATATTCTAACTTAAGTTCATGTAAAGAAACTCTTGTAGTTTGAGAGTTATGATTTATTCCATGAGTTGGGAGTTTGTGCACTTGTATTTTCTCTGAGAAATTGTGAAAGTAATGAACATTAAACTTGATCATATGTTCAATCCATTGAATAGTGTTTCACTTTCATGTAGATAAAGTGTTGTGAATTTGAAGTTATGCTTTACTTTATGAATGATGCATATTTTAAGTTATATGCCATGTGTTTGATGAAATGTTACATAAAATTTATATTGAAAAAAATCATAGCATCTTGGCATACATGAATCCTTGGAAACATGGCATGGGTTGAGCACTTGGTGCTATGCATTATGAGGGTGTAGATCCTGTGGTGAAAAATCCAAAATCTGGTCAATGACAGTATTCGCGGGCTGAAGGAGGCGAATCGTGAAGCGAGACATGGGTGACATAGAGTTGCATGTGTGTTTCATGCATATTGACATTGCATAGAATTGAGGGATTATGTGGTTGTAGCTTTTAAAATGTACACTTGCACATGCCGCGTCTTAAATTTGTACCTAGAATTAGCATTTTGTTATACCAACAGTTGAGCTGATCCATTCGTGTGATATCATATTACAAATGAGACTCCCGGTACTTAAGACTTCTAGAAGTCTTAAAGGAAGGAAAGTAAAGGAACTTGAATGGACATTTGGCCATTGGGGCATATTTTGTATGTATGGGCGTAAGACCAAATGACTTGTATTTCAGTTTGAAAAAGTAGTGGATTATAGGCCTTGAACCATTTTAAAGTGTAAAAGTGTAAACTCAATTGATATGTGAGATATTTTTATTTAATGAGTATCA